TCCCTCTATCATCCGGCACCCTGAAGGGGGAATGGGCAACGTGCTGGACCCAGAAGGCAGGTGCTGGCTGTGGCTGCCGTACTGGAGTTGGTGCTGGTGAGCTGCTAACTGGGATGGCAGGACAGTGTGATGGTGCTGGGTCAAAGGCTGCTGGGAGCTCTTCTGCGTGGAATAGGATGAGAGAGAGAGGTCTGGCCCCCCTAAAGGCATGCAAATCATGACTTTCTTTGGAGGTAGTGGAGGTGACAGTTTAACTGGCATACAAGGCAGTTTCACAGGAGCGCCAGGATCTAAAACAGAAGAAAGAGAGGCTCTGTGTTAATTTTCATGTCAGTACGATAAGGATCAGAGTAACTGCCTGGACAAGCAGGTACTGAGGATGCTAGTCAACACAGGAGCGTGCACCCTTTCCCTGCTGCAACAGACAACTCTGCACAGCGCGTGCTCAGCACGGTCTTCAGAAAACGTACTGTTGTTTTGCAGCACTTCCGAGTCTCACGACAAACATCGCACAGCTGCACATGCCCCTTAATAAACACGTTAAGCAATGCTTAACAAGGCTTTGGCACCCTTTGAAGCTTTAAAGCCCTAATCCTCCAAAACAGCCCTGTGAGGTAAGCGGGATGGATGTCTCCTGCTCGACAGGCACACAAATAGGGGGAGAGCAATTTGGTGCCTGAAGTTACAGGCTGACTCACCACCATCACTGCTGGAGCAAAAGCTTGGGGACTCCTGATCCTTCCCAGCCACTGTGGTTACTACAAGTCACATTTCATACAGCTTTGTAATATGCAAAACATCTGGCGTTAAAAATTACATTATAGGGCAAGAAAGAAAAGAAATAGGGAGTGAATACTAAACAGGAGTGGTCTGGAAAAACAAAGAGTACAGGAGAAGAAAATGATAAAGGGCAGAAGATTGTTACTATCAATGCATTCTTTTACAGAAGACTCAGCAGGCACTTTTCTCTGGACTCATGCACTGAATTTTAACCTTTTTAACTCTAGGCATGTTCATTGAATCACCTAGTTGACCTGCCAGGCAAGGACTCCCCTGACTTCCATGGGAAACCAATGCGAGGTCCACAAGCAAACCTCTCTGCTAGGACTCAACTGCAGGATGGAAGTTTTCAGAGCTGCATTGTGGAATGTTTTCAGAAAGGAGAAAAAGTAATGGGAGGGCTTCTAGTTCCCAAGATGGGTGTGGGAAACGGTCACAACACACGCTAAGAGCGAAAATGAGAGCAAATATACATGTCACAAGCTGCAACTGTGAGTTTCTGTTTAGGAGGAAGGCCAGGCTCCTTCCAGCCTGGAATAACACAGACATTCAGCTCTGCAGTGCAGCTCTGCGGGCATGGCTCACACACTCTTGGCCTCTTGTTGCTTCCGTGCGCTCTCCTTGCTGTAACATGGTAAAGGAACTGAAGGGCCAGAATCTTCTTTTGACCCGAGAAAGCTTGGGAGTAAGATGTTGCTCTCCAGGTTTCAAAGGTCATCACGCTCTTGAATGATATCAGATTTTTAAAGATCTTTTCCAGATGGTTCTTTTGAGCATTAACTATCCTTCCCCTCGCCTTCTTTATTCTTTCCTCCCTCCTGGCCTACTCTGGGTATTGCCTATAGTAGTATCCATACCTACTAGCCACGGTGCGCAAGGTTGACACTACAACTTCCAAGCACTGACACTTCTTGAAAATGATTAAGGACAGTAATGTGGAAAAAGACCATGCACAGAGCCAAGCTCAGATACAACATGACACTCTTTTTAGTGCTAGTCATAGCTTCATTGGATTAACAGTATGCACTTGACACTAGTGCTTTTACTATGCTAGGAACAACAGTTAACTCTTTCCTTTCTTCAAAAGGCTTATAGGCTAAAGACACAGGAGAGGCAAAGGGTGTGCAAGGATGAAATAGAGGCATGGAGAGAAAGCAGTCTTTCCACGTTGCAGAGCGGGAGAGATACAGAGAGTAGAACACAAGGCTTTTGGCTTTCAATGCAATATCGTAGCCACTTGACATGTTGTCTCTTCAAAGCAAAAATTCTTCTGATGGCTCCACCAAGGCTGAAGTCTAACTCATGGGACTACCGAACAACAGGGCACTGCCCTCTCCTCTAACGCAGATTGCCTTTTGTACAGTAGAAAAAAAAGACTTTCAGGATTTTCCATGCAAGCACAGGAAGGTCTCCCAGTTACCATGTTTTTCTTACATACACATTATCTGTGTATATTTCCTCTTTGTATCCTGCATAAAAGAACACACCTCTTCAATAAAAGGTAAATAACAGAAAGAGTAAAGAGTAAATGGTATAGAACCCTGAGAATAAGGCTCCTATGGGATTTGTAGTAACAAAGCCTTTTCACACATTTGTGCTCCAGGCAATTCCACTTCTAGAGGTGGTCCTGAATTACAAAGACCACACTGAGATCTGCGCTTCCATTTTGAAAAGCGCAGGTTTGACTGTTGGTTTTAGATCCTTTTCTGCTGTATCTCAATTAAAGTCTTCATCTGACAGTGCCTGTGCCTGGACACCCCACCATTCTGTGTCTGATGCAGAGGAGTCATCCTTAATAGTGAATTTAGAGAGATCTCCAACTGCAGGCATCTCCTGCTTCGGACAAAAGAATTATTGGAAGCATCAACTGGGTTTCCTGCCTTTTGTGATCCGGAAGATTAGAGCAATATTGGAGCGAGTATAACACGCCAAATGGTTCAGGTATAAAGCAAACAAGAATCCTTCCATCTTTCTTCTAAAATATAGTGAAAATTTCTTTTCCTTTCTCATGCAAGCATTCATCTAGTAGAATTGTGACAGAGGCACTGCAGCTTTGGAGTTGCACGGGAGAACAAACGTAGCTTAATTATCCTGAGTAACCACATACTCCATCATGAATCTGATGTGCATACTGTCGTTTCCGCTTTTCACAACAAAGGTATGGACCTTCAGTTTCCGCTTAAATTTAAAGAAATCCTTCACATCAACAAGCTTTCAGTGGTATCAGTGCTGGGTGACTCCACTGGACAACTGCCAAAAATCTTGCCCATAATTTTTAACATAAGGCTTTATTCAGACTGACTATGTTGCACCCAAGTTCTTAAGCCTGTCTGGATATGGCCCTAATACCTAAATAGAACCTGGAAAATGAACCAGAGGCACTAAATCTACTCATCTGCCCTTCACCTGCATGAGAATTCTACTTGTCTGTTAAAAAAAAAAAGGCTAAAAGGAGAATGACTGCAATGGGAGGAGAGTTTGATCCATTTGCTCAGAAACGTACCACTGTACCTTCACCAACATCAGTAATGGAGACTTTGTACTGCAAGTTTTACTGCTTGGTCAGCTCAGCGAGCCTGCCAAACAAATGGGGCTTTGCTCAAATCCATGGGCTCCAGGCACGCTGTTGGAAACTGCGCTACCATCACCTGGACTAAAGGAGAGAACAACTTGTCCCTGGCGTGTAAGAGTGAGATGACTCTGTTTTACAGCTCTTTCCTTGATTTTTTTTAATTTCACAACGTACGTCATGTATGAACCAGGGGTGGAAACAGTTGTTGTCTCCAGCATGGAATATCCATCAGATACGGCCATCTGTAGATGAATAAGAAGCTGGACAGGGGAAATATGAACAAGGACTCTGTGATAAGTCTCTTCTCAATGGAACACTACCAGAGTCTTAAATCATTGCACAAAGCACTCATGTGACAGAAGAGAAGCAAACTGCGTGAAGCCAGGTGCGCAAGTCTGATTAATCTCTTTTGGCTGAGGGTCTTCATGCTCAAGAGAATAATGAGCAATTCTGCAAGATGCTGGTTCCCAGCAGGGTTGTGACCACTCAGCACTGCGCATGGTTAAGTAATAACTGTGCCAGAATTGATGAGAGAGATGTTAGAGAGAGAAGCCTTCCCACTGCTGATGACAATAAATTACTTACAAGATAGTTGTGGTCACCACAATATTTGCTGCACATCAGACCTCTGACAAGCAGGTCAGCCCTTACCCCTTCCATATAGACCATTTTGCTAATACCTATAGTTGCTCCATTTCCTTTTGGGTTTTCAGGAGACAGGTAAGTATGCTGCACAGAAGGTTTGCTCGTGTCTGATTCTTCTGATGTGTCTGTGGTACACTGGAGTTGTACACCAACTACACCAAGTCTGATGCTTCCTAGCCATTGAACATGATTGGAGAGTTGGTCAGCACACGCTGCAGATACAACTGCTGCAGATAGGGTGCTAGGAAGTTCTGGGTGTATGGCAGCAAACACTGCTCCAGCATGGGTTTTAGAAAAGCTTGTTAAAATCCTCAGATTCTGCCCCAACACAACTACTGAATGGAGAAAGAGGGCAGACCCAGGAATCCTGGGCTGTGGCTTGTAGATGCCCCATCCCTGGAGGTGTTCAAGGCCAGGTTGGATGAGGCTTTGGGCAACCTGGTGTAGTGGAGGGTGTCCCTGCCCATGGCAGGGGGGTTGGAACTAGATGATCTTTGAGGTCCCTTCCAACCCAAACCATTCTATGATTCTATGTTGCTATCCTGTCAGTGGAAGAAAAGTTCTTTCTTGACTCCTTGTGATGCCAAACAGGAGCCAGCACTGTACCCCGACAGCTAGGAAGGCCAACAGCCTCCTGAGTTGTACGAGTAGAAGCACAGCCAGGAGATCAAGGAATGATTCCGCTTCTATTCAGCTTATACCTCCCCAGGAAAGACATTAGAAGCCCAGAATGAGTTGAGCAGAAGGCCACCACCATGGTCAAGGACTGGACCATGTGAGGAGAGGCTGAGGGACTTGGGAGAAAAGACAGCTTGAAGGGGGCTACCTAACAGCAACTCTCCAGTACCTATGAGAAGGTTATCAGTAGGGTGGAGCCAGGCTCTTCACTGTGGTGCATAGTGGAGAGGAGAGACAGTGGGCAAAAATGAAATGAGAGGTTCAAAACAGGACTGTAAGGAAAATGTTTATCTCCCCTGAGAAGAGCCAAACAGCAGAACAGATCTGCCCAGAAAGGGTGTGCAGGTGGCATCCTTTGAGGTTTTCAAGACCCAGCTGGACAAAGCCCTGAGCTACCTGGTGTGATCCCATAGCTGGCCCTGCCTTGAGCAGGAGGTTGGACTAGAGACTTGCTGAGGTTCCTTCCCACTTGAATGACCTTATACGGTGGCCTTTGCTGTACTATATACAACTACCAGTAACAGAACTTATCGTAAAGTTAACGAGTTACTCTGACAATTCCATTCAAGCAATTAATTCTGTAATGGGCAAAAAAACCTGTGCAAAAACTGCCATGGCCTGTTGAGGGAGCTCCATAGTGGAAATGAGGTAACATGCCTGATATTTGCTGGTAGCATTTGGACAAATAGCTTCTACTTTTTCAGGTCTTCTCTCTGGGAATCACTTGTGCCTGAACAGCAGGAGTCTCTTTTCTTATTTAAATGAGTTTCTGAGCAGATTCATAAAGACAAGCTAAAAACTGTTCTCAAAGATTTGCCATGCATCTCCTGCTTACTATAGCAAGTTCTGCGGCCATGTCTTCAGGGAAGATTAGAGACTGAAATTCTTTGCTGTTCTTCTGCACCAGGTACGCATCCAAGTTCAAGTTGAATTTGGAGAGCACGAGCAAAGCATGCCTAACCTAAAGGCTGAAAAGTACAGCTCTGCATGAATTCCCATGCAGAACCTTGAAGCTTTCAAAGAGGAGCAGATTTCCTGATGCCTGTATGTGCTGGGTGCTCCCCTCCAGGTAGCAGCAGGCAGAGGAGGTATGGAGGAAGCAACTGCATCAGGGTCCAGTTTCCTGCGAGAACCAGGGTGTGCTGGCGAAGGAGAGCTGCTTTTGCTCTGCTGCCTCTCCCTCAAGCACACAGTGAAAAGAGAATCGTCCACTGCACCTGCTGGAATGCAACCTGTACCTTCACAAATGTAGCCTGCCAGATCAGACAGCAGGAGGTAACGTCACAGAGGAGGAAGCTTGTAGATAACGTCTTGGGCTCATCTACAGAGGAGCCTTCTCAGACACGTGTGACTATTGGGTTATAAAATACTGCAGAGAATATTTATTGGATAAATTTAGCTGTAAAAACTTTTATAATGCTGTAACTACCAATGAAGTGTGTTGTGGCGATGCAGCAGGACATCACGCATCCATGTTCTCACACCTCATCCTTGGCTTGTCTGCATTATCAGAAGTAACTTCTGGGGACTTGTAACTTTTCCTACCCTGTTAAATGTTTGGCTCTAATTATGAATTAGCTCTTACTCTACAGAGACATAACTAGAAGGCCCAATACCAGAATTAAAAATGTGCTACGCCTCTCCTCAACATCTTGAATGAAGAAAGCAAGAGGATGCAAAAGGTTTTTCAAAGCTTAAATAGAATCGCTGAGTGGCCAGATACAACCAAGGCAACACCCTAGTGTAACATCAGGCTAACTTTGGGCTTGAATACACTCAGGTGCTGCTGAGATCCCAGCTTAGTGGCATGTATTTTGTTCTCTGATGTTTTAGGGGACTTTATAGGTTGCTTGTGATTCAGTTGTTTGAATGGAAAATATCTAATTTCAGAAAGCATTATTTGTGCTGGTGAGAAGTAACAGCTTAATGAATCAAGATCAAAAGGAACTTTACACCACCGGGGTATGTTGTCTATCAAATCAGATATGACCAGCCTTCTTGTCACTTTCGGCCATTAAAGATTTTATGATAATCTGGGGACTTTACTCCAGCAGTCCGATTAAATCTGGTCCCACGTGATTATTTTGATTCCTCCCACATTTTCAATGAAGTAAAGAGGTTGCAAGTGTTGTCCTAAATTCCTAGGTTCTGCATGTGGATACTGGAGAATTAAAATGATCAAAGAAATTCTTTCGGTGAACATTGTCTAATAATAATCCTATCAGAAAATCAGTAGAAGGCTCACCAGGAGGTGACTGGTCAACAGGAAATGCGTAGCAGAGAAACAATAGTATCAAAACAGTTAAGGATCATGGTTTTCTCCTAGGGTTGCTGTCTTACAGGGCCGCATGGGCACTTCCACACCTAGTGCTGTGATAGGGATGTTCCCTGTGGAGGCAGCATTGTTAGGAGCACGGGAGGTGCAGCGGTGGTGGCCCCACTCCCAGTGGCTGCTCCGCAGTCTGCTCTTGGCTCTGTCCCCATTCCTGCACTGTCCCATCCCTACAGTACCTCAGCCCTTGAGGAGAAGCATGACAAGGTTGTGCGATTTATATTTGCTAGAAGCAATCCTCTCTTCCTGTCACCTTTAAAACAGATTTTTCCTTTTCATTCTCCCCAAAATTAAATGCGCTCCTACATGTTTATTTTAGGCCTGCTCTTTTATGTGCATTTCTTATTGAGGGAGAGGCCAATCTTTGTCTTGGCACAGGCACATAGATCTTTGAGATGGTTCATAAATGCTTTCGGGGTAAGGAATGTTTCCTTTCCGTTTTTAAACCTTATATTAAGTCATTTGCCAAACCCTGCAAATCAGTCCTTGTGCTTTTACTGAGAACTTTGAGAGAAATTCACAGCAAGACTCAGTGGAAGCTTTTCTATCCTTAGGTTTTGTATTTGAAATATTGTTCCTTTTTTTTTTTTTTCCTGCTGCCTGTAGAGATTTTATAATATATGTTCTCAGTCATGTTCGTATAAGCCATGTTTCTATTAAATAGAACTACATATGTACACATACATACACATCTATCTTAAGGTGCAAGTTGAGAGGTGCTTCTGCATTTTCAGATGTGTACCGGAACCCTTCACAAGATTACACTTCCCCTCATAGCCTTCTTGAACAGAGCTACCAGATCATTAAACCATTGTCACTCTCCATTAGCCACACCCAGCATGTCTTAATTTGTCCTTCAACTTTGTCACAAAATCTTCAGTAGAAAAATGGGTACACAGCAAAACCAGAAGAATCTTCACTTCAACTGCCAGAATTCAGATTTTACTTTTTTTCTCACACACAAGCTCAGGATGTCTCTGGAGTAATTAGTAAAAGAATAGCATTAATTCTGCTTCTCACTGATGAGGGTGCTTCATTAGGACTGATTGCTCATTTCCAAAGATTATACATGGCTAAAATAATTGCCAGTGGAGAACAGAAGGCACTGAACAACACGTATCTCCTTTAGACCACCAAAGTAAATAGACACTTAAGAATAAGTTCAGTACTTTTATTTTTATGATATGTATAAACGAGGCTTTCAGGAATAACTGGCAGCTAAATTAGGGTCCTAAGACTAAATCTGAATCTCTGTTCCTTTCCCCTGAGGGTTCTGTATATGCACGTACAAGAGTCTGTCTATATGCACATAAAAGAGTTTATTTAGGACTGGATGAAAGACCTCTAAAGGCCACCACAAAGTAAGAGAAGTCACAGTTCTGTTTCATTGGAAAGTCATCACCATCAGGCAATCGATTTATGCTGATAGCTTGAGCCTGATTCTACTTCACACAAAATTTCCATCTGCAAAAAAAGCCACCAGAAGCACCCATCCTTTGATTCTGCTTCTATCTCTTAGAAAAGAAGGCTTATGAATAAAGGACATTTAGTACCTGAGGTTTTTCCTATGCTATTCATTTCTATTTTTCTGTTTCTTCTGTGTTGGCCTCATTTCTGAGCAGCTTCTCGTAACTGGGACAGAGTGTTATGGGAGATCATAGGAAGCTGGTTTTGTCCTCACTTGAAGCCATTAATACTGCTGTCTGGCTTTCCAGGCTGCAGCACTGCCCATTCAGTTTGTAGTACAAGGCAAAATGCTAACCTTCATGTGTAGATTTTGGCAGGTAAGAAAGTAAGAGATTCCACATAAAACGAACAAAACTATACAGAACAAAAATGTGTGGCCATCCAAACAGAAACATGAAAAGACTATGCAGAGATATGAGAGAAACCAGGACATGCTCTTTCCTAATGAGCTCTTTCCTGATATATATCTTAACCCAAATAAAATGGGTATTAACTGCCAGGAAAAAAAACCAAACTGGAATTATGAACGTGAGCTGAGCATTTCTCACATCAGACCTCAGAAGATCAGGGCAGCATTAACACAAGAAGAGCAACCTGGTGAGAAGACCAGTAGCTGCCCTAGTACAGCGCTCCACGCATCACACCTTGTCTTGAATCCAGGATTTTGAGATGTTGCCTCCTGGGCAGCAGCTGCAATTATGAGCAGCATGCTCAGAAGGTGCAGGCAAGCATTTAGGGAATCTTTTTTAGCCTGTGTAAACGTAGCCATCCTTTGCTTCAGTGTTCTAAATGAGAGACTGGAGAGAGGAGACAGGTCAGGTACGACCCCCCCCGTCCTCTTTCTGCATGTATCTAGAGCTTCGAATCCCCAAGATTCAAGAGCCTGGACACTTGTAAAAAACATCTTGAACACAAAAAAAGGAATCTGTATTGTCTACTGTTGGTAGCTGCCATGCAGTGAGAGATAAACCGCAGCGTAAACTGCAGGGCACCAAAATCCTGGTCATTGGCAACTGGAGCTGCCCATCATCATCAGGACTCAGCAGTGGGAGGGGAGTAGTCAGCACAGGGGTGGAAAGGACGAGCACGTAGGCCACAGGACAGAATAGCCTGTGTAAGGATCGCGGTGCCAAGTAAAAGACAAACACATGGAAAGATAAAAGGTGCGTGCAGGGGGACCTGCCCAGATGGTAGCTGAGGGGAGAGCCAACAAAGGGCAAGAGGAGAAAGCAAAACTCAACCCTCACCCCATTTCTCATTAAAGGAGTTTAAAGATATCCTACTATTTTCCTGATACTTCCTTTCCCATCAAAGCACATCCTGCAATTTTTGTGGTGAAGGTGAATCTTGATGAGTAAGAGTGAGGAGGGTTAGGAAACGCAGCGGTGTTAGGTAATTACAGCTGAGAGGGGAAGTGCCCTGAAGCAACCTCAATGAAGTCACAGCCCGAAAACGCTTCGGGATCCCTGCCCTAGGTACCACACAGATACGTTACCAGCACACACAACAACATGTGCAAACAGCGTTACGGAAGGAGGAAGGACACTGAGAACCTCGCTGTAAGGGCAGGCTTTTCCTATAAGGGAAATGGTGGTGCTGAGGGTCCAGGAACACCTACTTACCAGTTAAGTGGCTGGCAATCCTGGCAATAGGTTTAGGAGGCAGGGCAGGGGGCTGTTTGAGGAGGGACAACTGTTTCACTGGGGTGTCCTCATGGCCTCCAGGGAAAGCGGCAGATTTTTTTGGGGGAAGTAGCAGGACTGGCTTAGCTGTAGGATCTTGGGACAGGAGGACTCCGGATTCATTGGATGTGGGGCTCTCTTCAGACACTGGAGGACACAACCACATCATAGACGCAACAACGTTATGAGCGAAGCAGCAGCGGATACAGCCGTAGTAAGACAAGAAAAGCAGCGCAGCAATGCAGATTAAGAACGACTAATAGATTTCACTCAAACATCATATAACGTAGAAAGGAGGAGGGAAAGAAAGAGAAAAAGAGGAAGAGTAACACACATCTACACAACAGCCGAGTTTTCCATTACCTCTGACAGAAGCCAGCTCACTTATGCCAGGCTGGGACATATTCCCACATCTTGAACACAAAGCAAGAGGCTTAAAATGTCACAGACAGTCTGGACCACAGCTTGCTCAGCACTAGGTATGTTAGCAGGTGGTCTCTAAACTTAACCTATAAATGTAAAAACATCTCCCAGGGCCTTCTCCATTTCAAAGAGGCTGCATAGCTGTACAAGACTCCCTCCACGTACAATGCTCCATCCCTGGAGACGTTCAAGGCCAGGTTGGACGAGGCCCTGAGCAACCTGATCTAGTTGGAGATATCCCTGTTCCTTGCAGGGGGGTTGGACTAGATGACCTTTGAAGGTCCCTTCCAGCCCTAACCATTCTATGATTCTATGATTCTAAGACTATGGATGAGCACGTCTACCAGTCATTTTTTCTCACTTGACCTTCATCCACAACTCTCAGCTCTAGGCGATGCGGAAAGGGGAGCAAACCTAGATGTACAGCATTGCTTCCCCCTCTGCATGTGCCGGGAAAGAAGTGCAGACAGCCTCTCCTAGGGTAGGGCAGCTGGTTGGGTTAGCTACTGAAAGATACACAGTGTGAACGCCACCCAACGCCATGTGGCAGCTAAAGGGCATGATGTTGTACCCTAAGGTTGAAAAATGTTGTCAGCTCTCTGCTCCAGAGCTCATTGGCACAGCTGAGACATAGCCAGAGTTAGAAATCTACTCTTAAATGTTCACCAAGTGCAGAGAGGTTGCCTTACTCACAAAGAGGTTACTTGTGTAGAAGTATAGGTTACTTCTACACCAAGTCAGTCAGGATTTCTCATGGAGCATCCAGTGACAATCTGTATGCTGTCACCTCCTTCTCCACCAGAAGACATTTGTCTTTGACAAGGACTTCTCAGGGCTAGACACCAAATGTCAGAAGTCAAAAACTTGTTTCAAACAGCTTAGAGTATCTACATCATAATGTAAACAAGATGTTACCTGTGCCATCCATGATCTCTGTGGTTGGGAGCACCTCGTACGAGCAGGGTTCTCCAGATGCTGGACCTGACTCCAGTTCTGCTAGGGCTGGCAGGGATACCTGGCTGGAACTCAGCACTTGCCCAGAGCCGAGAGGCTGCCCGTTCTCCAAAGCTCCTTCTTCATTTGGTATGGAAAGTTCTCCATCTGTTCATAGTTGAAGGAAAGCAGAATAACAACAGAAGACACATAAATAACATGCAGAAAGAATTTTAAATGAAATTTGCTGTCTCCATTAGCTTGTTTGCCGATAAGTAACCTGAACTGAGATCTTGTATGTATACATGTATTGGGTTTGTGTGGCAAGGCTTTGGTAGCAGGAGGGCTACAGGGGTTGCTTCTGTGAGAAACTGCTGGAAGCTTCCCCCATATCTGATAGAGCCAATGCCAGCCAGCTCCAAGATGGCCCTGCCACCGGTCAAGGCCGAGCCTAACAGTGATGGTGGTTGTGTCCCTAGGATAATATAGTTAAGAAGGGGAAAAACTTGCTGTGCAATAGCAATTGCAGCTGGAGAGAGGACTGAGAACATGTGAGAGAAACAACTCTGCAGAAACCAAGGTCGGTGAAGAAGGAGGGGGAAGAGGTGCTCCGAGTGCCAAAGCAGGGATTCCCCTGCAGCCCATGGTGAAGACCATGGTGAGGCAGGCTGTCCGACTGCAGCCGCTGTCTCCCTGCAGCCCATGGAGGGTAATGGTGGAGCAGAGAGCCACTTGCTGCCTGTGGAGGACCCCACATCAGAGCATATGGATGTGCTCAAAGGAGGCTGTGACACAGTGAGAAGCCCATGCCAGAGCAGGCTCCCGGTAGGACCTGTGGACCTGTGGAAAGAGGAGCCCATGCTGGAGCAGGTTTGCTGGTAGGACTTGTGACCCTGTGGGGGACGCACGCTGAAGCAGTTTGTTCCTGAAGGACTGCACCCCAGGGAAAGGACCCATGCTAGAGCAGCTCATGAAGAACTGCAGCCCGTGGGAAGGACTCATGTTGGAGAAGTTTGTGGAGAACTATATCCTGTGGGAGGGACCCCACACTGAAGCTGGGGAAGAGTGTGAGGTGTTCTCCCCCTGAGGAGGAAGGAGTGGGAGAGAGAACATGTGATGAACTGACCGCAATTCCCATTCCCTGTCTCCCTGCACTGCTGGTGGGGAGAAGGTAGAGAAAATCAGGAGTAAAGTTAAGTCTGGAAGGAAGGTGTTTTTAAGATTTAGTTTTTATTTCGAAGGAAGGCGTTTTTAAGATTTAGTTTTTATTTCTCATTATCCTACTCTGATTTGACTGATAATAAATGAAATTAATTTTTTTTTCCCCAGATCGAATCTCTTTTGCCCATGATGGTGCGTTTTTAAGATTTAGTTTTTATTTCTCATTATCCTACTCTGATTTGACTGATAATAAATGAAATTAATTTTTTTTTCCCCAGATCGAATCTCTTTTGCCCATGATGGTGATTAGGGAATGATCTCTCCCCGTCCTTATCTCGACCCATGAGCCTTTCTTACGTCTTGTCTCCCCTGTCCAGCTGAGGAGGGAGTGATAGAGCAGCTTTGGTGGGCACCTGGCGTCCAGCCAGGGCCAACCCATCATGATAAAGAAGACAAAGGGATAAGGATCAAAACAATATTGTTTGTATCTCAAAAATACAACTAGTGCAAAGCAATTTTTGGAGATATCTGACTGATGTTCTGTCCATAAGAGTTTCACAAAGTCTGACAGCATTCCACTTGCCTCAAGGGGTTATTAAGATTTGGGAAAGATTTGTCAAATATCTGTTTTATCCTTTGCTTACCCTAGGGTGGTCACTATGATCCAGAGTCTAAGCTGGATGGTTCCTAACCATCCTCCACCATGGGGCCACATGGCCCCATCCAGAGCCACAAAATCTGTTTTCCCTCTGTTGAAGCTGGGAAGTCAGGAATGAGAATGGGCTGAACTGAAGCTATGGAGCTTTCTGAAAGAATACTAATATACATAGTATATAATTTATAATATTTTAAGAATAATAACAAGAATTATTCTCTTCCCTTACACCAATTTTTATGAGACACAAGCAAAATCACAGAAGTATGTCTATTTTACACAGAAATTAAAACATTACAGCTCCCAGCGTCAAGATTTTAAGTAAGGGAGAGAAAAATTTTTATCGTTCCCTGGTGTAAGGTCTTGATACCAGGATATAGCAGATTCCATTTAGAAAGCCTGTTTTTAAAGTTATTAATAGCATCTCCTCTATCTGAGCAAAATTTCTGTAACAGCAGCTGGTAGATTTTTTCCTATCAAACGACACTTCACATTTGAAATAATAAAGAACAGAAATGAAGGATCAGATCATTCTCTATGGTGTCAACCCACATGATTTTTATCTCAGAACTCGTTATGCACAGCACTCTGGTACCTGGAGGCAATGACTACATGGATATCTCAATTACAATTTTATAAAGGAAAAGTGTTCAGCCCCTATGGTTATGAGTGGAAGCCTGAAAATATAACCCGAATGTGACCTGTAAAGCTAAAAACCAGCAGGCAAATAAATGGAGCCTAATTTTACTATGCATTTCAATGATTTTTTTAAGCCAAACTCAGGATTTCAGGAGCTGGTTCCTGATTTCTGAGCACCTCTGATTGGCGTCCCTCCCCATGACAGGGAGGTTGGATTAGATGATCTCTAAGGTCCCTTTCAGCCTATGCCATTCTATGATTCTATGATATTACTGCTCAATGTACCAAGCAGAGATGTACATCATTCAAGTGAGCGCACATTTTTCCCTCACAGGGCTAAGATGCGCAAAACACTTTAGAAAACAACACTGAAAAGAGAAGAAAATTTAAGGCTCATTTAGGTCTTTAGCAATTAACAAGCCTGGAAGTACGTTAGCTGATAAACATTCAGAATTATGGTTCTGCCTTTTAAAGCTTCTCCACAGCGAGTGGAGATGGTCTCCTGTTTATTTTGGAATTATTAGAAATACCAAGGTCTTGATTTTCTTGTTTTCGTTGGAGGTTTTCTGAAGACCTAGGGAGCTATTATGGTACACAGTCACATCATACTAGACTGAAACCCAACCCACAGCTTTCAGAGCAATCAACTGAGCTGGCTAAAAGGTGGAAACATTAATCAAAACTGAAGCTTTTGGCCAGTTGTTCACAGTACAGCCTGCTTCGAACTGCTGTGGTCATTCAATACGAGCCCGTTTATTTCCCTAGGCAGCAAAAATCAAAAAACAGTTTGGCCAGTATTTAAGCTGAATGTTTTTCGACTTAGCTGTTTGGGTGGAAATCTAGGTATGCTGTGCTTGCTCCGTCTCCCTTTTATAAACATGCACCTTTACACGTGTTTGGGATAGCGGCTGCTGTTGTCCCAGTTACCCGGTTTCAGGAAAGAGCGTAACTGTTCCTTGAATGGAAAGCTATGATTGTGTCCAGCAATACTCATTAATTCGGTGCAGGATTAAATTTGACTTAACTGTGACTAGAAAAAAAGTATGTGTGATAAAACCAGTAACATTTACTTTCTGGAGGGACATCTACACATTTTTAATGAAGCGAGATGCCTACCGTAACATGCTGAGCATCCTGAAACTTTACTGTCTGAAGTGCATTTTTTGCTTCTCAAGGTATATTCAGCACGATTTCAGAAGATCACATTCAAATGACCCGTTGCAGGTTTACGATTGCAAAAAAGCAAAACATGAGATAAAATTTGGCTTTTACTTTTTGTCATAGTAACAAGCGTGACAGCTCTCTGTACTGACAGCACAAGCTCTTTTAATCTTACCTCTGAATATCTCCAATCTTCGTTTAGCCTCTAAAACGTGTCCTTGGATTTTAATGAAATCATCAGACATGACATAGAATCATGACTGAAACATACACCCTAAATCGGATCTTGCTCAAAGAAGAGCGACGTGGGGAGCTGCTCAAGTAGAGCCAAACGGATCAAAGATGTGGATAAAATAATTCAAAGAGTGAAAAATATCGTTGCGTGAATTAATCCTGGATCAGAGACATGCTTGACAACCAGACTTCCCCTGAATGCAAGAGCTTTGGTAGTGGTGGCTGAGTGTGAATGTGGACAGGTCCAGAGAAAGTAGCTTGACCTCTGCAGCAACAGGAGCACGTGAAGGCTGCTCTTCTGTTACTCAGGAGGCTCCGCACGCCTGAAGTCACTGAAGAAACACGTGAACAGGAAACTCTCTGAGGCAGAGGACTCTATCCAGACACCTTGATTCACCTCAGCATGCGAAAATAACAGCATGGGACGAAGGCCCAGAAATGCATAGAAGATATGTTCAAAACATGCAGCCCCTAAGCACGGTCTGTATTCCTGAACTCATCCGCCGTTTCCACTTTCAGGTACTTTTTAAAAATTGCCTGGTGCAAAGCAGCCTGCAGTGCATCATGCTCCCTGGTACAGACCCATCCTTTTGCTGTTGCTTTACGTCGGAGCTCTGCCTGCCCTCTCACCGTGTCTTTTCACTTTGAACACCCTGGACCAGGGAACTTCTTGCATGTCTGGTAAGTGCCACGCTCATGCACTCCATCCCCAGACAAATGGCTAAGGAAGTCAAAATGATGAGAAGAGTTTGAAATTTGGTGGGTTTTTTTTTTTTTCACTTTGGGTTGTCTCCTTCAGTACTTGCCTGCTCTCAAGTAAAATTGTCCAGGCAAGCATTCTTGATGGCAAAGGCTAGGAAAGGGAGAGGAAAATTCATGTCCTTCTCTGCCGTGGTGCCCACAGGCCAGGGGATAGAAAACTGGGCGTTCTTGCATGTGGTCAAGATTTGTCCTGGGGCTGTTTCCTAGCCTCAGTGACTACCTTAGCACAGTAGCTAGGGCCCTCCTCTAATTCAGTCTCTAAGCAGAACCCTGATTTTGTGGGATCCTATGGAGTCTGAGACAGGCTGACATATGGATCTCCTCCCTGTTTCTGGAGAAGCTCAAATCGTCTCAAAATATTGCAACTGCAGCACAACTGGCTCTTTAGTGGCTGCCATGCCTTCCTCCTTGCTGCATTACCAAAGCCACTGCTTCAAACTTACACTCACATACTGCCACAAAACCTGCCGTGGAACATAAATGCTTCTAAATTATGTCAGGATTTAGGTAACCTGAAATTTGGGTCTAAATCCATAATTTTGGTTAGATAGCAAGTCCAAAAATGCAAAAGTATAAAAGATGAAGACTGCCCATGCTTCCTTGCAGAACCACTGCACCATCATCTCTGAAGCAAGCAGCCAGTACATACTCATATTCGGAATTTTCTCACTATGGGCAATCTCATCTACGTTCAGATAAAAGAAGAGGTATCAAAATGCTACAAGCAGATTTAATTCTTTGACCGGCACCATGGAACAGTGGGCAATTCAAAAAACAGATGCTTTTGGGATGGTTACATGTAAAAATCAACGCTGTTTATCTACATGTGGGAGCAATGGTATAGCAAAAATGTGAGTTCTTCTAAATGCTGCGGTACGTTCTGAGTTGCAGGTGAAAGCTGTATTTTTCACCTCTTGGCACTGCCTGCCCACAAACGATTAGAACAGCAGGTGCCTCATCAGATACTTCTTCAACTTACTGTTTTTCCAGAAGCATACAGTATTTGAAAAAATTACAACCTTTGCCCACATTTTCAGAAGACTCAAGTCACAGAACCCTAGAAATGGAAGATGACAAAACCTTATTTGGTCATGAGTTTGGCCCTTGCCAAGAAAAGAGCTCTCTGCAGTTCTGTCTGGAGTGGATTCACTTGACTAGTTTAAGCATGGGGATCACTGAAGTGAGAAAAGCATTTCTTGTTTCCCAAATATCGCAGCAGGACTGCAGCGACTCTCCCATGTGTGAACACCGTGACTTACTGCGCTCTGCTAACTTTCACCTGCTGGATGACACAAAGTCCTCTGAAAAGCCAGCAAATCCTGAAGCAAACAGGTCAGAGTGTCATTTTACACAGCAAGTGAACAAACTTGCTAATTCTGTTTTTCTTAAACATAGAAGATATTGTAAAACCAATACTAAGCGTCCTGTAAGCTCAAGAATTTTTGTTCTTGGGTCAATCTATCCATGTTAAATTTCCTTTGTTCTGTATGGATATTTTTTTAGAAAGAACAAGGCAAAATGACTCACTCACAGGCTGATGCTGTCTGCTTTGTCCATCTCTTAGGAAAGGGAGACAAAGAGGTTTAACATTACAGCTACACCTATTGTCTGTGCAAGATGCCTCTTGGCATGGAAGGTGCTACCATCATCAAATAAAGCCTTCTGCTATGAAGTGCTAAAGTCTGCTGTTTTCTTGAAGGATTAGAGATCACCTAACAGAAATTACAAGGAAAATGTTACTTCCACCTAAGGTCTGCAGTGAGATATAACATCCTTTACTAGAATCACTATCAGATTATTACACCACTGAAGGAAGTACTGGTTTTGCTCTACAAATCTTGACTTACTTAGATCCTTATATTATCAAAGCTACTCGATCACTGCTAGTATAGTTGTGTATTACCACCTTCTTCTCTGCCCTACTTCTTTCCTTCAAGGAATACCAATTCTTAGCTTCCTGTGTTTGCAACCAGCAGAAAATAATGTAGAATACTGAATCAGAAGTCCAGCTGGTTTGCGTCATAGTTTCCCTTTTAGTGGCACTTGACAACGAAAATGTCCGATGTCCCTGCTTTTTGCACTGGAAATAGGATGAAGCTGCATGTGTATGGTATGAGCTTTGTCTAATATTAAAAGGTGAAAAATGACTATAAAAAGGAATTAATTTCTTTTTTCGGATGAGGACCTCCAGACAGCTTAGCATCTGCTTCACAAGATGACACAAAAGATTACAAACTAGAGCATTATCCGACGAACGGAGAAAGCCGCAATGCTTTGGTAGCAACGTGGAGGGCAGGGTCAGGCTGCACAGGAAAGATTTTTCCTGGAGATGCCTTTAGGTATGTGTAGGGACCGGTCAGAAAGCAGCTACCTGGGGACAACCTGATGCAGCGAGAAGGGCAAACCTTTTGCCGGGTGGTTGTTTCCACCCCAAAGTTGCATCTAGGGTGACTTCCAATGCAGCAGGCCATAGCAAGAGTGCAGGCAGTGTTAGAGCTAAAGGACTAGCAGCATCTAAAACATGTCACGGGTAACAACTGCAGAATTTATTCACAAGCAGCATACTACTTTGGTTTTGCAATTTTTTTAATTTTTTTCACTTAAAATAATACACAGTTCTGGTTAGTAAATTTTTAAATTCCCAATAAGCCATACTAAAAAAGTAGGTAGCAGATTTAAATGCTCCAGACTTCATGAGGTAGACACTACTTCTAGAATCTGTGAAACTTTATAACTTCTATTGACTTCTAACAGGTTATGTACTGGTATTGTTAAAGACTTTTAGACTTTGAATTAATGAGGCTTTAAAGCAAATGCATATGTTCTACTGAAATTAAGAGGCAACTTTGGCATGTCTTTATATAATTTGGTGAATTCATTGCCTTAGTTATTGACAAGGGAAGCGGCAAAACAAATGAAAGCTGTGGTTAAAGATCGACACATACATAATAGATGCCAAATATGTGTCACGTTACCAGTGTAAAACAATGGTGTTTACAAAACAATGTCGTTTTGCATAAATAATACATTACCAACTAAATAAATTAATTATTCTGTACAAGGAATTATTATTATGTCTTCTGAGCTGTTTCAAGGGAACGGGCGCTGTTCTGTGCTTGCCAGGATCCAAAATTGTTAAATGTTTCCCTTTTCCGCAGCAGTTAATCCCAGAGTGACTCAGCCAGACAATGCTAACACATGCAGGCACAAACCCACTCCATCTCCCCACAGTCTCCATGCCTCGCTGTTTTGCAGCAAGCGACTCCTGCACACTGCCGTGATTTATATTTCCACTGCTTTACATTTCCGATTAGCTTTCCGTTTTATTTGCTAGATAACTACCACAGGTATCCAACGGGGAGGGCCAGCCCACAGTGAAATCAAAGATGTCTGGAGACTTTATTCTGCACAGTCCTGCAATTCAGGACTGTACTTCCAGTTCCTAGGGTTACAATAATGTAATATCTGGCCATAAAACTATATGGGATGTCAATATAATGTTGTAAAAAGAAGAGCACTTACCTTTATCAAAAATTTCTTTCAGCACTCCTCGTTTTATAAGCTCCTCTCTGCTTTGCCTCATTGATATTTTTCTTTCCAAAGCTGTAAGCAAAGGAGAAGGGTCAATATAAACAGAAAAGAAGGGAAATTCTTGTTTTAAAAGACTCTGTGCCTTTTAAGGCATTTAAAAAATGCTTCTTAGCGTCTTCAAGTCAGTGGAAAATTCGTGTTTCAAAAAAAAAGGCTACTGGCAGTCCAGAGAATCTGCCTGCTGCTGTAGTGCGGCTGTTATTGACAGCAATGGTTACAGACAGACTGATTTGAGGGCATATCTGCACTCCCGTTGCTTAATTCTGACACACGGCCCAAGCATTTCTATGGAGAAATAGAGATGGCAAAGGGAGAAAAACGTAATCAGTGCAGAAGCCGGAGACGGAAAGGTAAGAAAGGACGTGGTCATGGACTGTTCCTAGGCCACGGAAGAGGAATGGCACCTCTGCTGCCCTACAGCCAAGGCTTTTTTGTCACCAATTCCAGTGAGAGCAGATCAAGGCATTTGGGATAGTGCAAAAAAAAGAGCCGTTCATTGGAGCCTTCTCCTCCCTGGACGATGTTTTGCCCCCAAAAAGGTGTAAATGAGAGAAACTCCATGAAAGCCACTGTAATTTATAGCAGGCGTGAACAGCCCGAGTCCTCTATTGGCTGCTTGGAGACCGTGGTCACTGGGGCAGCAAAACGACAGATAGAAATTTCATGTTTGTTTAGTTCAGCAGTAATTAAAACAACGTCCAATTAACCAAAACACCACAAAGGACGTGCGTTCAGGCAAAGAGCTAAGAGCCAGCGAGTGAGGGGCGCAAGAAGCAATGTGCAGGAGCGGCTGTGACTGCACATGCTCTGCGAGAAACAAGCCCGTGCCTGCCAAAAAAGAGGCACAGTCAAGGGCGAATCGCTTCTGCCATATGCTCCTCTACCAGACCCAGCGCAGATGCACACACACACACACACACACATGAAATGGGACTTAGCATCTCCAGTCTGCTCAAGGCAGATTTAAAGCAAAAGAGGCTCCGAAAGCCTCTCTCCATCCCTGAAAACATGAGGGCGTAACCTTTTCCGGCACTGCTGCATGCTGGCTGCTCCCGCAGGGACACGTATACTTGGTGAATTAGCGACGCTTATACTGACACACTGCACTCACTGCAAATTATTTGCTGTCAGATACGTACGGCTTAGTATGAACAAGGTCAGCTCTGCTTCACTCTTTTCCACAGGATAAATTTAGGTTTCCCCATTTTTAAAATCAGTTTTGAACATATATTCTTCAGGACAAAGACAGTCAGTAGATACAGTCAGTAGCTAATAAAAACTCTGGTCTCCCCTGAACACACCCTCTGAACTTCACCACTGATGAAATTAATAGCAGGTCCCTTTGCTGAGGCACAAGACCCCACACCCATCAGCCACTCACATGGTGCAGTTTTCGTTTTGAGGCTGTTAACGTAACAGCCTCAGGTGGGAACAGCCTCAGAATTTGCCAAAGTGCCTTAGCCCCATTAGAAGAAGTGCTTTAGGCACCCGACTTTCAATGAAATTTAGATTTCTAGATTTCTAATACGCATTTGAAAAGAAATACCTAGCAATCAGGCTGTGAAGTCACATTGCAGACTGCTCCACGACCTGCCTTTTCCCTGCACTGAAGGGGTCTTGCTCTAGTATAGTATTTAAAACTTTTTTCCCTCCCTCCTTAGGAACAGCTGCCCTCATACCCTCCAAAAAAAGCCAAAACAAGCTGCAGCTAACTCCTGAGCTTTCTACCACACAGGGAAATTGTTAAAACTCTCACCGACTTGTAAGAGCAATTCGGTGGCACCCAACACCACTTCCAATCGATCTGAGAAAGTGCAATTTTCTGTTACTGTGGGCAGCGAACGGCATCCAGTCTGTCTGAGCTCGTTCTTCAGAAGGAAACCAAGTTGGGTGAAATGGCTGCAAAGCGGCAGTTTATGCATATAGACAGCGGCACTGCTCACAAAACAAAGACATGGGCAAATACTGCTATTTCTGTACTTTACCGTAAACAGCAAAACAACAGATCCACATTTTACATATAAATTCACTGGCACCCACCTGGGTTCTCCTTCTCCCCCTCCTGCCTAGGCTGCAGCTGGCTACGCATGGTCGTAGTGTTACTACTGACTTCATGGGTGGGAAATCCCACCACATTATTAAAGTAGCGGTAAGAAACACGGTAATTTTGTGGATTGGAGTTAAGACTTCTGAGGGATCGAGTGCTAAAGAGGGCTAGCAGTATATTTTGAAGAAGTGCAGGAGCGTCTCTCCCAACACAATTGCTGGGGAAGACACTCAAGTACTGACCTAGACTTCTCCAGTCATGGACTATTTTTGCAAGACTGTACATCCATAGGCTTTTCATACGCTCCCTTTTAGTTGCAACCAGCTTCTGCTCAAGAATGAAAAACACTCAACCCTCCAGTTTGAAGCTCAGACTAAAACAATTTTTCAGTTTCTAAATCCTTTCTAAGTAGGTAGAGGACTTAAAGTATTAATTATTTTCCTACTAAGCCAGTTTAATTAATAAGATATTTAGAAGAAGGGCATGCTGGGCTGAGAGCAGCACTGAATGATAATAGCAGATGTTATACTAAAGCTATGGGACATGCTGCCTTCCTTTAATACAAGTCTTCCTCCCAGACAAGTCTCGTGCATTTAAGTGCATAAACTGCTATGCTACTGCTGGATCGGGTAGGAAAAAAAATCACAAATGTTTAAATGCAGAACTCATTAGTATCTAACAGCCTGAACAATGACACGTTTCACTTGGTCTGGATTTCTCTGGCAAAGATTGCCTGTTCTTTTACGAAGGATTTTCTTTATAGGCAGAAGGCTGATACAGAATAAATTCATTCACTCTCCACTGAGAAGGGATCCATTCACAGTAGAGGATAAATAAAAACCTCTGAATTAATCCTTGATTCATGAGAACCTTGTAAATTCTGTGATGGGAAAAATTAAATATAATTAATATTTAACAAAAGATGTATTACTTCATTGACACTTTTCCTTGGTAATTAACCTCATTTCGTCCCTTTGTACAATCTTCCAGGAGATTAGAAATAAGCATTAAGCCCTCTTTATGGAGTCTACTTATGCCAGAACCTGGTTTTCTTAACAAATTCATCCATTCTCCAAGAAACTCTCAGCTACTAGTTTCTAGAAATGAGCCTATGTGTATTTTATGGTATAAGCATACCAGATTTTGCCCCTGTGCTCTGCAGTACGCTGTTTCTTTTAAGCTCTGATGAAGAAACAGTGGGAAATGTTTTTATTAATGTTTCTGAGCTGTTTTTGAACTCGTCCCTCAGGAGCAGCACCCCTCCGCTGTTCAAGCAGAGCTTTTCTCTGCGGCAGACCCATTAAGATCAGTAAAGCCTTGACAGGGTCAGGAGGATTTCCTACCCCTCCATTCTGAAAATCAAGCACAGTTTTGTCTTTATTCCTTTAATAAGCCATTGCGCTCCGTGACAGCGGTGATTGTGGGCTGCTCCTCCAGCTGGGAAGGTGAAGCTGGCCGCTGGCCCTGTGCCAAGCGCTTCTGCTGCTCCATTAAGCAGCCAAAGAGGCGTTTAGGTAGTCAGGGCTTGTAACCTTTTTGTCTCTCCCATCCTTCCCTCCAAGACCAAAACATTCCAGATGAACTCTTCCAACCTGCATCTATATGCGAATAAACCGGCCCCCTTTGCATAACCCGTCATGTTGCTGCTTAAACCAAGGGGCGGACTAAATAAACAAGTCCTACCCTTTCTTCTCATCTGACTACCGAAACTAAACCTCAGTCTGTGCTAGACAGCTGAATCTTAACCTCGCTTTGCTCCGAGGTTGCCCTTGGCCTTTGTCTTAAAAAGCACCGGGGGTTGCTTGGCATGAATTCTTCCTTTCAAAGGCCACTATAATTTTCATGATGATTTTAGGAAGCAAAGGTCGTTATAGGAAGGGAGCTTAGAGCAGAAGCTTTCTGGTGCATCAATTATATCTGGATTCAATATGCAGAAATGTGCTTTGCTAATAATTCAGATCTGAATAATTAGAAACAAGTAAATCAATTGCTTTGCATACTGTTAAGATAAATAAACATCAATGTTTCCTTTAGACTTGTAAGGAGGGAGAGATTTTCAGATGCGATGGATCATGTATCAAAACATGTTACATCATCTTGAAATTTTTCCAACTACCTAGAGTTTCTTGATAATCAAATGGATCAGGACTCATCTGACACAAATTTTTACAGCGTGGGCTTCTGCCTCTGAGTTGGCCTCCTTACGTATTATGAGCAAGTCTCAGGTATGATTGACCTCAGCCTAATGTAAGCATCTAAAACAGGCTGAACTGCACCTTGGAAGTGCCTGTTAGTCTTTATTGACTGTAAAGGAAGCTAAGGGTGAGTAGCTGAGACAAAGATGCATAAAATCAGGGCTGAATCCACTTCTGAAATCAAAACTTACCATGAGAGTTGTAGAACACTGAAACAGGTTGCCCAGAGAGGTGGTGGATGCTCCATCCCTGAAGACGTTCAAGGCCAGGTTGGATGAGGCCCTGAGCAACCTGATCTAGTTGGAGATATCCCTGTTCCTTGCACGGGGGTTGGACTAGATGACCTCTGAAGGTCCCTTCCAGCCCTAACCATTCTATGATTCTATGATTCTAAAAGGGTAGTTTTAAGAGCAGAAATGCTGCTGTAAATGAAAGTCTCAGCCATAGTGGAGGAAAATGTAGATGTGTCAGCTCACACAAAGCTCCATTATTTTTGGGATTGTTTCAACAGCTGTGGCATGACACTCAACATTGCTGCTGTGAGCTTGGGGCTTGACCAATGCCAAACATAGCTTGGTTGAAATAACTGTCTTGCTTTGCTCAGTGCTAAATACGAATTTTGCTGGGCTTCAGACACTGGTAAGTCTCTTAAAGCCTAAAAGAAGGAAAAATATTCTGACAACTTTCTGAATCTTTAAGATTTAAAGTTCCTCACAGAAGTTTTGTGTCTCTAATCCCAGGTTTTCCTGTAACAGCAACATCTACAAAAT